TCTCCCATACAGAGATAGAGATGCTGATGGGAAAGACTCCTGTCATTCTTCCAAATACTAAATATTCAAGTGTTTGGGTTATAGACAGATCCTAAAGGAGGAACAACCTGAGTTGAATAGTTCCCCTAGAATACAAATATTCTACAAGCTTTTGCAAATGAGCTTTGAATGGGGTATCCCAAGGAATTTTTCAGTTATTGAAGGGATCACAAGGAAAATAGATATTTGAAAGACTTGAATGGAACTTCTACTGAGAATTTTTCTTTATGTCTATCTTTGGTCCCACCATAGTTGATTCATTTGCAGATGCATTTAACGATTTAGGTGCATCTCTGTGAGTTGAGAAATACTCTAGAATAGTGTTTCTCAAACAATTCAAGTGCCTGAAAAATCACCTGGACATTTCATTTTAATGTAATTAAAGTTTAGATTCTGATTCAGTAGGCTTGGAGTGGGACCCAAAAATCTGCATTTCTAACCATCTTTCAGGCGATGGTGATGTTGCCAGTCAAGTCTAAATTCTTGCCCTCAAAGTATGGTGTATAGGCCAGCAGCATCAACAATCACTAGGAGTTTGTTAGAAATGCTAGAATTTTCAGGCATACCCCACACCCACAAAAAAAGAAACTGGATTTTAACAAGAGCTCTAGGAGACTCGTAGGCACATTCAAATATGGGAAAAATTATCCTGGGACTTCTGAATTGTATCTTCCTCCTTTCATTTCCTCTGCTTTATAAAGTCACAAGATGGAGATCTTCATTGGAACTACTGATGACTCCCAAGTTTATAAGCTGGCAGAGTTTTGGAAGACACATTCAAGGTTATTATGTGTTTATTCTGACTCTCCCACCCATGTCCCAGGGTAGCATAACTTCTGGCTATACTCTTAAGAATTATCTATAGCTTCTATTTTCATAAAATGTTGGTAGAACTAACATTCTTATTATATAGAGACTGCTAAATCTGGGGAGAGAGACATAGAATGCACTCGAGGGGGGCCTAAAATTCTGCTAACCCATTGTTCTTTTTCTTTGAGCAGCTGAAAATTCTTTATAGGTTTAGATAATAAGAAAATGCCACAAAAGAGCTCAAAACTTCTGCAATTCAGTATTAAGTGGGGCATATTAATGTTACTTGCTGTGGGAAGTGTATCAGAGTGGTTAGGAGTGCACAAAGGCTCCAAGGAGAAACTTTCTGGATTTTAAGTTGTATTTATGCCTCCTATAAGCTGTGAGGCCTTGGACAAATTACTTGACCTACCTATGCCTCCATCTCCTCATTTAAAACAGGTGTGATAACAGAACCTACTTTAGAATGATTTATGAGTATCAAAGCTAAAAAAGCCCTTGGAATCATACCTTGCATATAGTAAGCTTTGCAAAGATACACAAATGCAAATTTGAAAATATGGTTACAATTTTAAATTTCCTTTACTGAGCCTCAGCATTCCCATAACTTAGTTTAATTGAGTTTGTGGCACTATGACTAGGGACACATTTTGCATTTCATGAGAGAAAAAAGATCCTATCTCAAATGCAAGGAACATCAATTAACACATCTGCAAGAAGCTTGGAAGTGGGGCTGGCAGCCTTGGCCCCCAAGGCCCTGAGGGTGAGGCCTTGAATCTATCTCTATACTTCATTGTCACTCACTGGCCAGCGAAGGAAAAATTCAAAATTCACCTCCACATTTCCACACATGCAGAAAGTCTCACCAGTTTAAAAGCCAATTTGTTTAGCTTTAATATTCAGAGACTCTTATTTTCTGAATGGTTAAGCATCTATCCAAAGCTGCCAAGGTACTATGCAAAATGAAGTTAAAAACTGGGGGTTCAGCAATTAAATCTCAGTAAATTATCAAGGATCGATGCAATACAGCAGAATATACATATACTGCCTTTCCACTTCAATGAAAACCTAGGGGGAAAACCCATGTAACAGAGACCCTCAGATTTCAACACCCGCTTCTTTACCCCAGATATTGAAGATAGGATCAAATACTACTGCAAGATGTCTGCTGCACTTATGGGCTTTTCAGATGCTGGCCCGATAGAGCCGCCAGTTTCGCTCCCGCTCCATCAATTATTTCTTTGTTTTGCCTGGATGGTGCTTGTAAACTCCTCAAGGTGTGCTCCTGGGCAGTTATGCACATTTGAGATTTTTCCCTTCTGATCCCACACTCAGCTGTCTCTGGACCAAAACTGATTTGCAGGCAAGGGAAAACCGCTGAAATTTTCATGACATTTAGATTTTTTTAAAAGCACGTGGTAGTGGCTCAATAGGCTTGCTTACCTTGGATTAAAACCTATTAACGTTCCAGCGCTTTCCTCTCGGTGAGATTCAGTTCTGACTTGCATGCGGTGACTTGCAGAGCGCTTCATTACAGCTCAGGGGCACAACTGATGCCACACAAGCCATTAAAAATGAGTTTGCAAGAGTACAAAAAAGAAACCTTTGTAGACGAGGGCCAATTTGTTTCGAAGGCGATGCACTGTAAGAGCGTTCACAAAGCGGCAAGCATTATCTCAGATTCAAGCTATGCTGCTCCCTCTCCTATTTTTAAATACCAAATAGAGAACTGGGAGAGTCCTTTCTTTGTGGCAGCAGCTTTGGTTCCTGCCCTTATTTTCTGCCATTATAGCTCCAGTTAAGCTGTGTGAATATCCCTGTGGTATTTTTTTTTAATTTTAATTTTTTTTTAGGGGGGTAGGTTTTGGTTTTGGTTTTGCTTTGGATAGAAATCCTTAAATCTGCGTTTGGCTGGGATCCTTAGAAGAGTCCTGTTATTCTCTGTGCCTCAGTTTCTTTATATTCAAAATATCTCCACTACCAAACTCACAGTTGTAGGGAGAAATGGGGAGACCTAATGAATATAATCCTTATCAGTGAAAATGAGTACTCAATATGATATAAATTATTTTTGTCATTATTAAAGCAGGCACATTTACTATTTGCCATCTCAAGATTTCCCCAATGTTTTCCCTAATTGATTGCAATTTAATTTAGTTTTAATTAATCCTTTCATTATTTATATGTTCACTCTAGCTACAGGCTCCAAGACAAATACCTTTAGATAAGGGTTTCTTTTTTAATTTTTATTTATATATGACAGCAGAATGCATTATAATTCTTATTACACATATAGAGCACAATTTTTCATATCTCTGGTGTATACAAAGTATATTCACAACAATTCATATCTTCATACATGTACTTAGGATAATAATGATCATCACATTCCACCATCATTTATAACCCCATGCTCCCTCCCTTCTCCTCCAACCCCTCTGCCCTATATAGAGTTCGTCTATTCCTCCCATGCTCCCTCTCCCTATCCCACTATGAATCAGCCTCCTTATATCAAAGAAAACATTCGGCATTTGGTTTTTTGAGATTGGCTTAATCTCAGTAATATTGACAGTGGGGAGTGGCGACTATGCTATTTCTTGTAAGACTTTTCATGGAATCCTTGACCTCTACCTGTTTCATGACAGGCATTTCTTCTTCTCAACACAACTTGCAATAGCAAAACTTTGCAAAATCACTCAGTGGACAGCCATTGCTTTGGAGTGTATCAGGCTGGTGTTGCCTTCAGTATTGCTTTCTTTAAGCAGAGAATGGCAAGAGTCAACCAGTAAAAGCCTCAGAAGCCAGTAAGCGTAGTCTGATAACAGGCAATAACCAGGTCTGAAAGTCAATAATGGCTTCTGAGGTCAAGAATGAGGTTGGATCCAACAACAGAAATTTTAGAGTGGGATCTGGGAAGAGAAGAAAGTAGCTTCAGAAGGAGCCCCCAGAACAGCATATGCACATCTCCATGTTAGCAAAGAATGCTTCCCCACTCCAGGATCCAGAGGAGAAGAAAGAGAAAGGCACCCTGGACAGAGATGGTCCTACAACAGGCAGAACAAAGGTCTTTCATGTTGGGCAGAGGGCAGCTCCAAGAGGAAAGAGCACATGGCAAAATAATAAAAGGAACATACCAGGCGATATGTCTGGTTTGGGGACTTATCTGGACCAAGCAGCAACTCACCTGACTCCCTGCTTTGGCCTCCCACCCTGTGACTGTCTTCTTTCTACCACTGAAATGTTCTAGATGAGCTGCCTACCTTGTCATAGGCTGCTCAGCCCAGTAGGTCACGCGGTCAGGCTGACTGGTTGGAAGAGGCAGCATCTACTGCCTGACCCACTCCTCAGCCCAGATTCTATGCTTTGCCCACTCAGATCTAACTAACTCGTGCTTCCCAGCTCTGACTGTGCTCCCACACAGTGTCAGGCTCATCAGAAGCCCAGCACGGAGGTGCTGATCAAGGACTGAATGTTCAGTCCTTGATCTGCCCTTGAGGGCCCTCCAGTTTCTCTCTCCACCCTGCCTCTCTCACCTTGTCCTTTCTCGTTCCAATGTCTCCCACCTGGTTTTTAAACAATTGCTCCATAGGATATTAATCATGGTCATGATCACTTAACCAGGAATCACTTCTCCTTCATGAAGGCCTACCACATTTTGTAGCATTTAGACATTTATGTGTTTCATGATGGAATCTCTGTACCTCTTGTCCTTCCCACTAGAATGTAAGTTCCTGCAGGAGCACCTAGCAGTAGTACGTGCTCACTATACACCAGGTGAGGGACTGGAGGGAAGGAGGTAGATGAGTCTAATGAGCCTAAGTGCTAATAAGTAGGAAATAAAAAGAGAAAGATTAAGCAAAAAAGGAAAATAAGAGGGAATTGAAATAGCGTATTTTACTAAGATAAATATAATTAATCTACACACCCTGATGAGCTACGTTTTAGAGCATTTGAAATGACTGTATCAGTGTTACCAACCACTGTTTCTTAAAACTCCCAAGGAAGTGGAGAAAAATGAAGTTGCCAAAAGTGTTAAATAATATTTAATATTTATTTTTAAAGAACTAAAGAAAAATGAAGGCACAAAATCTTGGTGCATATCCCTAGAAAAATACTGGCAAAAATCACATTAGCAGTACTTTCAGAGATGGTAATAATTCATTTGTCTGTAAGTCATTTATTTGGTAACCTCAGCTATTTCCACCAAATAGTCAAGGACAAACCAAGCAACTGAGAAAAGTCATCAAAAGAGGGACTATAGCTGGGCGCTGTGGTGCATGCCTGTAATCCCAGTAGTGCGGTAGGCTTGAGGCAGGAGGATCAAGAGTTCAAAGCCAGCCTCAGCAAAAGTGAGGCTCTAAGCAACTCAGTGAAACCCTGTCTCTACAAAATAGGGCTGGGAATGTGGCTCAGTGGTTGAGTGCCCCTGAGTTCAATCCCTGATACCCCACCTTCCCCAAAAAGAGAGAGACTAGAAAGTCAATAGACTAAATCTCATGTAGTTTACAAATAGACCCAAGGTTTGAACCTATTTCCCTCTCTTTGTATATATTTTTCAAAAATAGATAGAAAATATTCTCTAACCTAGAGATAATTACAGCAGCACTAGAAGGTGGAAAGAGAAACTTCTGGAAGAATGCTTGGAGCATCAGTAAATAGTGGCCAACACAGGTCATCCACGATCGTAGCCTCAGCACAGCCCAGAAAAGCTGTTTCCTGCAAAAGAAGAGATCACGAAAATTAAGGTCCCTTAATGAAGAGGAGCTAGCCATTGGAACTAGAAGCTACCTGGCTAGAATTCGGAACAGCTGAGTTCACCAACTTAGCAAGCATCACATATCTTTCTGTTGGTCTCCAAGTGTCCTCATGCTCTTCTGAGCCTGCTGTGTGTAGTCCTCACCCTCAGTTTCCCCTGCTGTTCAGTGGTCTTCCTGAGACCCTAAGAGGAAAGTCTGTGCCTCCACTGCCATGTTCATTGGCCTGGATTGATGTGGCTGCATATCCCAGGACCTGAATGGTGCTCGGCTGGCACAACTCAGTGGTTGACCCAGCATGACAGAGGAGGAAAAGCTGGGAAAAACAAAAAGAGAAGTACAGCTGAAAACCTAAAAGGAGAAAGCAGTTAAGAGACATTTAGTGCACAGATAAATAATCCTCCATTACTCAACATCCCCCAAGGCCATCCTCGCATAATAATAGCACTGCATAATAATTAGGATGCACACCATTAGGCTTGGGTCTCCCACACCTAGCAAGTTGTACAGTGGTTAATAAGGGTTTATTAAAATGAGGTTGTGAACTGATAAACTATCAGTGAAAACTGATCTTATGTCTAAGATAACTAAGTTTAAGAAAGCCAAAAAGGGAACCATTATTTTAGAGAATTTCTAATAAATATAATTTAACTAAAAATGCCTTGGGCACCTGAATGCAAAGCTTCAGTTACCTGGAAAGCTCACTTACATAAAAGGCTCGACATGACTAAACCAAGATGACAACATGTTTTATTTGCTATTGACTAGCCTAACTACAAACAAGACTTTGACTCAGATACACTTACCATTAAATTGGGAAAACAGGGCCTAGAATTATTAGACCACACTATTATCACGTGGGTGGACAATTGGATAGTAAGTTTATTTCTTGGCTTAGCACCAGTGAATAGACAGAAAAACTAATGAATTATGAGATGCAGGATAATGTATATTAATGTTCTTTGGAAAAGTGCAAATAGTCTTCAATTTTCACCATTCCTGGAAACCAAGTCATAGGAGGATTATATTTCCCACCAGAAAAATAAAATACTTGGCCGTTGCAGTCCCAGCCAAACACTCAGCATTATATTTATGTCACCATAAATATGTATGACAACATGTCTTACAATCAACTACAAACACTAATATTATTTAAAATACTAGGCTGATGCTTCAAGCCTGAGGGGAAAAATAGTTTGAAATGTATTACTTGTTCTAAACAAAAAGTTTCTATGGTCAAAACCAACAGTACAGAATAGATCAAAAGATCAATAAAGATATGTTGTGTAAGGCATTATACTGCACACTTAAAAAAAAATTCCTACCCTCAAGGAGCTGCAAGTAAGGTCAGGGAGAAAGATATTTACATTAAGTAGCACACAGCACAATTTAAGAAGGAGTTAATACCAGAAGAGGGATGATAATAACAGCCAGTGTTTCTTGAGCACTTACTATGTGTCTGTTACTGCTCCAATTGCTTTGCTTGAATGAACTCATTTAATACTCAGATAAGCTTGCCACATAGGTACTACATTGGAAATTAGGTTCAAAGTTAAACCTACAGTTGGGCTCCAGAATCTATATTCTGAAAACTATCCTACACTGCTTCTCAAAAGACAAGAGTTACATGAGTGAGCACTGAACACATTATTATTGACTGAGAATGTAAGGAGGTTTTCTGTAGCTCTCAAATTTGCAGAAGCATCTGGGAGAGGGCATTCCCAGTGGAAGATACAGCACAAACTCTGGGAGATGGGAAATTGTGACTCATGTGACAGTATATTACCCAAATCTTTTCATTGATCTTTATTTCAAAGAAAGCCCCTCACCCCTACCTGTCTTGTACCTTTTAATTGGTGATTGGCATCCTCATCTGCCCAGTGCCTAAGAGACAATTCAGAACATAATTCAGGACTCCCTTCTTCATCCTCATCACGAGCCTACATAACCCAAGCCTCTCCCTCTCCCTCCTCCACATTTCCACTATCACCGCCTCAGTTTAAGTCCCAGTACTCCCCACAGGGCTGTAGCCTCCTAACTTGAGTCTCCATCTTAGGTCTCTAGACTCCAATCTAGTCTCCATATCAATGCTATAGCACCATTCTAGAATGCTATCTGGCCAAAGTGCTCTCCCAGCTATGAAATAAACCCAAATTTGTCACTGAGACATGAAAATCCACTTGTGATCTAGCCCCTGCCCACCTTAACCAGCACATCCTCTAACACTTCCCCTTATGTACCCTATATTCCAGCCACAGTGAACTACTTGTTCTTTGAAGGTAACAGACTCTTTACAGATAGCTTTCTACCCTAAAAATCCATCCCCTTTCACACACCAACCTCTAGTGCCTAATTTTACTCTGAAAATTCCAGTTCAGGTGATTCAGCCTGCCTTCTTCCTCTGGACATTTTCAATGACTACCCAAGGCAGGTCAGGCATTTTTTCTGGGTTCTCATAGCATGTTATTTAAGCCTCTATCTTACCATGTCCCACAATGTATCCTAATTATTTCCACATGTCTCATTTATTCACCAGACTGTAAATTCTTTACAGGCAGGGGCCATGAGAGTCATACCTACCTGTATTCCCCCGTGCTTACTGCATATTTGATAAGTGAATGAATGATTTATTTGGATTCTAGAATCTGGGGTTATGAACAGCCTCAGCCCATTTTATCCACTCTTTAGTAGAAGGCTCATTACTTTCTCCACCAGATCTATTCTCATATCAAGACAGCAAAATAACTACACATTATTGTTATTAGTCCTAATATTTTTGTGTTATTATTTTTACAGCTGCAAGACAGAGATGCTGGTTTAAAATGCTTAAAAACTGGTTAGCCCAGATTGAAGAACTATTTACACATTTAATTTAAACCAAAGGTATGCTGAACCTTCAAGAACTGGTGTGATATCTTCCTTTCAAAGGAAAGGTCACAGCTCTACCATAAATTCATTGACCACTCAGATTTTGTTCATAATCCTGCAGTATAAATTTACAGATTGATTTTTTATTTATATGTCTTTTTCATCCTAGTTACTTACTTTTACATTTCCAATCATTTTCTTATGTCATCTACTGACCCCAGGTATAAATAAAGGCATTAAAACAACAACCTCTCATCATTATCATTTTGCAAAAGAAACAACTTTTTTTTAAAATTTTTATTATTGTTGGTTCAAAACATTACAAAGCTCTTGACATATCATATTTCATACATTTGATTCAAGTGGGTTATGAAGTCCCATTTTTACCCCGTATACAGATTGCAGAATCACATCGGTTACACATCCACGTTTTTACATATTGCCATACTAGTGACTGTGAAACAACATTCTTAATATCAACCTAAGCATAGTTTCCAATTAATGGATATTTCTTCAAGTAGGATAAACTTCTTTTATTAAAATATAGAAGCTAAACTCATCTCCCAGAAAGTTCATAATGTTCAAGAAAAAATGGCCTCCTACAATCTCAATGCTTGAAATCAACTCATAAGACCCCCAGTGCCAACTGTACCCTGTCATCCATCCATCCAGAATGGCACCTGAACCTCTTAGCTCCTAGACCTCAAGACTCAAGAAAGATTTAAAGTAGCAACTCTTTTCAAGAAGGTAGACATCATTGGCTTGGATCACATCCCTTTCTCTTTATTCCATTCATTCTTCAGAGAGTTAACTGACCCTTTTCTGGGCACTATGGTTTAGATATTAGGTGTCCTCCAAAAGTTCATGTGTGAGACAATATAAGAAAATTTAGGGGTGAAAATAATTGGGTTATGAGGGTATTAACCTAATCAATGCATCAATCTCCTGATAGGGATTAACTGGCTGGTAACTGTAGATAGGTAGGGTGTGGTTGAGGAGGCATGTCCTTCTTCAGCACTGCTCGCTGCCCCCCACCTCCTTTCTGGTACCATGTCCCCAGCTGCTTTCTTCCACTACACTATTCTGCCACGATGTTCTGCTTCACCTCAGGCTGCAAAGAATGGAGTCAGCCATCTATGAACTGAGACCTCTGAAACATGAGTGCTAAATAAACTTTTCCTCCTTTAAAACTGTCTTCTCAGGTGTTTTAGTCACAGGAGCAAAACAAACAAACAAAAATACTAACTAAAACACGGATCTACTACTGCTAGACATTGTACCTAACGCTGTTCTTGTTGTACCATTTTGTCACTGGTTTGTCTCCCACACTGGACTCTGAGCTCCTTGAGGGCAAGGATTTTGTCTATCCCATTTTACCTTCCTCAGTGCCTAGCACACAGTAGGCTCTCAATCTCACTGTTGAATAGAACTGCCCCTCACAGTAGAGAAACTAGCTAAGTTAATGGGAAGAACAGAACTCTAAGTGTTTTGCAGGATAAGTTTTTTAATATTTTAAGATGGCAAACACTTTTGATGCATGTTCCTAAATTCTTGAGTTTTACTTTCAGAGAATGTAGGTAAACAAATCCAATTTCTGGATCTCTCCCTTTCCCACTAATGTTCCAAAGCAAAGGAACAAAGCTAAGGACCAGAGGCACCAAATAGGGCCATTACCCTCCTCTAAGAACAGTAAGCATGGAATCTCACCAATCATAATACCAGCTGTAGATTTTTCAGTCATTAATAATCAAGTTCATGTAGAATTAAAATTATGTCTTTTCACTTCAGAGGACCCCACCGCTTAGAGTATAATCAAAGAATATATACTAAATGAGGAAATAGGTTAATTATTTTGGCCAAACAGTAAGTGTTCAAGTTTCTGAGAATAGAACAATAATCTTTAGGAGTTTTGCTTGGAAGCAGTAAACAGAAGAGAGAAAAAATAAAACGGGAATGTCTGATAGAGTTTTCTAATACTCAGTGATCTCACTTAAAATAGAGACAGCACTTCCAACCTTTCTTACCATTTCATACAAGATTCTCTGAGGCATCCACCTTGATTAGAGATTGCCTTCACTCAGCTGTCCTTTCTCAGTTGATTATTTTTCCAATACATAAATCAAAAAACATTAAGGACATGCAAATTATTATTTGTCTCTTTCTTCTATGTCCGTTCTACATTTTCTGTTTATCATAATGAATTAATATATTTTTTCTTCATTCAAGTTCCTTAATTAAATATTATGACTAAAATACCAATGGATGCATTTTTAAGTCCCACCATGTACTGTGTCAGAAACTATTCTGGGCAGAGAGTATTCTGTGACATAGAAAACAAAGGTGATCTCTAATTTCATAGAGTTTATAATCTGGTAAGAGAGATAAGAAAAAAGGAAAAATATATGTACACAAAATTTCAGACAGTGATAAATGCTATGAATAAAATAA